TCACCGTCTGCTCTTCCCTCCAGTTTCAACTTAAGCGGTCAATACAGCTCTTAATGGGACAGTGTTCTTACTCGCTTTGCACTTATTCACATTATAATATAGCTCTGGACGTAGCAACACTTTGAGGCAATTTGAATCATGGATTTTTGTTACTTGAGTAACATAAATGCATGATATATAGACTTGTTTTTGCAGGAAGTCTTTGTTGGAGTGTGTAGAAAGGCCAAAGATTGTATATTTCCCTTCAGCCATTTCTTAAGCTGAAGAGACAACGCACAGCTGCGGGGGGCATGCGGGTTGATGAATGTTAAGGAGAAACTGTCAAAGGGAGTTGATTTTGTGCCTTCGTGTTTTTGAAAGCAGTGACACAATTCCAGTTTTCCAAGTGAGCTTTACCGTTTCTCACGACGAGGTTTCACCGAAGGCCCCTCAGCAAAATGGCGTCAGAGTGCTCCAGTTATCAAACTGGATAAATGGTGTCACCCACCAGTGCTGTGGCCTCAGCACACGTAGCCTTCGACGCGTTGCGAAGCATCTCTCTGACTCGGCCCATTGTGCTGTAGAGGCACGGTGAATAGTGTTCTCCAGCATGGGGAGAACAATATGTGATTGTTCCCCCTGCTGTGGTGAAGAAGCTGTAGGTTACTCTCTGTACCATCGCCAACGCGCCTGAGGAGGAGATGTACCGCACAATCTCTGTCTGCTAACCAGCGAGTCTTGTAGGTTTAGAGCTCTGCGGTGCTGTTTTCCTTTTAGCTGTCGGAGCCGGTGGGAGAGGGGGGGGGGGCACTCACCCCTTTTTGGTGGAGAGGGGCTTTTGTTTTACTGGAGTGCTTTTCTACGGTTTTATATGAATGCATTGATGGCCTCCGGGTGGAAAAACAACTATTCATACTGAGGTGTGGAGCTGGATATCAGAAGAACAAGAGCTGAAGTGTGATTCGTCAGCATGTCATTTAGGTCCCTCAAGGAGTTTGGTGTTTCTGCAGAACGACTGGGCTCAATTTGTAAGAGATGGATGGCTCGCGTCCAAAGGTCTGTGTGATATTGCTTTTACATGAGTGTATCTTTTTGACTGTATGCGTGCCACGCATCTACACCTATCGCGTTGTACTTGTGGCCCTTCGTGATCCTCTGTGGTATTACATCGTGCATTGGGAGTGATGCTTCGTACTTAAGGTGATTTCTCTGCCTCGCCACCCGTGGATGGCCGGAGCTCCGGCCTCATTCCTGGTTTCCAGCACCTCTGCACCTGTCAGGAAATGTTTGTGCCCTCGGGTTCTGTGTGTGTGAGTGAGACAAAGGTGTTGTAGTAGTAGATACTCTGGTGAGTATTGATTCTCTGTCCCTAAGGCCCGCCTCAAAGGAAAAATGGCACCATTTAGTGCTTCACTCATCTCGGTGATTGCTCTACTATACCCAGATTGTTAAGTGATGTGTTGTTGACTTTGCAATTCAGAGTAGTTTCTCCATCCATTATTGTATAAATATATTGTTTCAGCATCTACTTCAGTGTTCACATGTTAAATAGTCACAATTCAAAGGATTTAAAGCACTATAATCCATCTGACTCCTTGGTAGTACATTTTAAATGTATAAAAACTATCAAAGCGCATTAAGATTAGTTATGAAAACCCAAAGACGTTAACTCTCGGTCAGCTAATAAATCACAATTTAGCCTGTTTGGTTGTTGGTGTCACACATACAGTCTTCCTACAACATGACAAAGCCCAATCATTCTCCCAGCGGATCGAAAGTCTCGCTGAGAAAAGTTACATCAGCTATTTGGAAGTTTTGGGGTTTTAAAAAGGCAAAACTAGACATAACTGATATTATGTATTATGCCAAAATCTGAATTAGATTAATATCAAACTGCCTCTCTAAACAATTTGTTTAATTGTTTTGATTTAGCTATTTCAGGAGACAACTACATCGTAAGTTTTGTTGACAAAATTGTAAACTGTACGTTATCCGTGTGTGTTTTGTGTGGCAGCAACGATACAGTTGAATACATTTTTCTGACATCAGAATGTAATATAATGCTTTTTTTTTTTTTTTTTTTTTTTTTTTTTTTTTTTTTTTTTTTTTTTGTAGCAACGGCAACGGCAGCAAGATGAACGGGTCGCTGGAGCAATTGGACCAGCCGGACCCAGACTCCATCAAGATGTTTGTGGGCCAGATCCCGCGGGCCTGGTCAGAAACAGAACTCAAAGAGCTATTTGAGCCCTTCGGAGCTGTGCACCAGATCAACATCCTCCGTGATCGCACCCAGAATCCACCCCAGAGCAAAGGTACGATCCTACGAACAATCATCGCATATCGTATCAATCTGCTGAGTCTGTCATATAAAACGTCGAGGGGATGGAGATTACGTTCATTATAATAATGTGTGTTTTCTTACGTGCGAATTAGACGAGATAACCAGATTGTTTCTAAAGCTAAGCAACAAACATGGCTTTTGTTTACTACCCTTAACTGTCATTTAATGAGCGCGCATAGGTAGACCCGACATGTACGCCATTCAATCACGTCACACATGAAATGATGCGACGGCTCATTGCAGTCCTGAGACAGCCACAAATACCAGATTATTCTCCCCAGAGCATTTGATTTAATGATTGCTTTTGGGATGTAATGAGAATTTCAACAAATATAAAAAAAAGCTTGTTAAATAAATTGCCTACCCTAGCTTTAAACGATTCACACGAAATACACTTATTACAATTGATAATCCGTTATGCTGTACGGTGTCCTGACTCACACTTTATATTCTAGAAAAACATGTTTTCTGAATAAATTTTGTTTGGCTACCTTCCATATTACAGAGGAATGTTAAAGTTTTAAATGGCCGCCGTTGTCCTCGACCCGTTTCTGCTTTTAGTGGTCAAACACTACACACAGAACCCTGTTATTGCCGCGTCATCTACCATCACATTTCAGCACAATCCCCTTCGGCAGTGCACAGCGTTGCTTGTCTGCACACGCAATGCAGCTGCGTTTGTGCTTGCAGATGAGATGATTCAATAGTCTTTTGTTTCAGGGTTAAAAAGTAACACCTTTTTTATTTTCATAACCCTGCATTATAGGAATGTTTTTTTCCTTTACTTTGCCGTGCTGGCTTAAAAGTAGCATTGTATGAAGGAAGTGTTACTCGACTGCAGTTTTCCATTAAGACATCTATCGATGCGCTCACCTTAGAAATGGTGCTCGAGTTGAGCGATTCAGTTTAGCTTCCAATTAGAAGAGACGGTGAAGTGGAAGCCTGGTGTCTGCAGGAAGCTGCAAAGTGCCACTAGAAGAGCTCAGTCTCCCGTAACTAACTGCAGGTGAATAAAGTAAGCGACAGTTTCCCTGATGTCCTGGGTTTACAGCATCAACCAAATTTCAATTCCGTCGATGGTTGGATGACTAAAGGCACTAATCCACTCGGGTTTTAATGGGGTGGGACCCTTTTTTGATGCTGGATTCCGCATCTAAATGGAGGCAGTTCTGGGCTACCGGTTGTTTCGTCGTCCTGACACACCAAGCTGGACCAAGCTCTCACTGGCCATCCGTCGCTGGTAGTTTTCGAGATGGTACCGGCATTATTCAACCCTTCATAAGCTGCTGTTCCGCTGATTGAGTCTGTAAAATTGTTAGTGGCGCCATTCTGAGAGAGTGTTGCCTGGCTGTTCAGCCAAGTGAATCAGCGATATTACCCATTTAGTGAAAGGCATACTGACAACAACGCTGTTACTTGGAGATGGACATCTTGCCGTGCAGCAGTAAATTATAACATGACGACTGTTTGTGCAAATATATCGGATGCCTTTTAATTGACTAGCAGTGTAATTTGCTTAATCTTTATGGAATTTGCTAAAGGTTAACCTCCAAATTTAGATCTTTAAAGTTCCCAGGGCTCCTGACTTTACTGTGGCCATTTGATTCAAAGCAGCCTTTAGTGTGTCAGGAACACACCATGTGACCAGGACAGCACTTGGTTCACATGATCTTTTATACACACGCATCTAATGTGACCAAACACTCCTCCTTTAAGTGTGTTCAAAGGTATAGGAGAAGGATGCTTATTATTCTGTTCGTATGTAGAAATAAAGGCAACAAACAGTGTGCAGTTCATTGGGAGGCTGAAGAATTCAAAGCCTCCCTTCTTTTCTCCCCTGTTTATATGTGGAGTGTCAGCCGTGATGGCCTATTGACATGTTAATGCAATGTTAATGTATTCTAATAGATAATCTAGCCTGATCACAGCAGCCTTTGGCTCACTCAGCCTGTGTGAGGTGAATATGTTGCAGCGGCACGCCCATATATTCCATTCTCCTCTCCCAGTAGTCCTACTGCTACTGGGAGAAGGGGGGGGGGGGTGTAGTTTTATCAAAGCATGATGGCCTGATGATATCTAGCTGATGTTTATTTGCATGGCAGATAATACTCCCTCCACCCCCTTCCTATGTCATCGATCTTGCTTTTGTCCGCAGAAATTGCTGTAATCCCACTTCCATGTCGCCTGTTTACTTTGCCACGGATCTATCGAAGAGCCATCAGATTTGCGTGTTTTTTTTTTTTTTTGTTTTTTTTTAGGTCGCGTCTACTGCAGGTCATGAAAAAATCATCCGATAACGATCACGCCTCTCTTGGATGGTTTATTTAGCTCCAGTAAATTTGGAGGCAGGGCTAAGCAGCAGAGAAAGGGAGAGAGCTCAGCCGGTTGAGAGGGAGAGAGAGAGAGAGAGAGAGGGAGAGAAGAGAGCAGCTCGATGCATATTGGAGTTCAACAGCCCTCCCCGCGGCCTGCGAGCTCCAGTAACAGCATAATACACACTATGTAGGTCAGAGACGCTGCAGTGCTCCACTTCCCCAGCCCAGTGAAACTGACAGGCTGGAACGCCACTGGCGGTCTGCTGGGACGGAAGGATGAGAGGCTTTTTTTTTTTCCTCCCTCCCCCGCTCTCCTCTCCTCCCATCTTTCCTCTTCCTCGCGCCTCACTCCTGCTCCCTCTTGTCTCTTTGTGCTGTTTTCATGCCTCCTGTATGTCTGTTTGTCTGCGATCGGATCCTTATGTAACGTGGCACTCTGATGTGTGGCTACTGTGTTGACCTGCGGACTGCGCGTCGGCACCTCCTGACAGCGATCTAACCCCGTGGTCGTCTCTATGGCCGTGTCACACAACAGCCTTCAACTATCTCATTACTCCAGTGTCCTCGCTGCGAGCTCCCACATGGAGCTGTGTGTGTGCACCATCTAAGAATATCCTGTCACATGTTTCTAACATGTGCCGTACAAACAACACACGCTCATCCGTTTAGCCACTTGCTCTGCAGCAGTAGTGGGATTACATTAACCGTCTGTATGTGCTGCGTTTTTAATGCCGTTTTTTTTTGTCTCCTTACCCCCGCCCCTTTGTTTGTCCCGGTTTCTCTCTGCAGGATGCTGTTTTGTTACTTTTTATACAAGAAAAGCTGCGCTGGAGGCCCAGAATGCACTGCACAACATAAAGACTTTAAGTGGGGTGAGTAAGCACAGTATGGGCTGCTTTTAGCTGCTTGAGCCGCGCTGCATCCCCGATGCCGGCTGCGAGCAGTATGCTGGCCAATAATGAGCTCTCGGCTCACTGAACGCCTGTCTGGCTGAAAAATATCTCGGCCCTGAATCTCAACACACTAAATTGATAAGCCAGCTGACCCTTACACACACACACACACACACACACTACATATGCAGGTATCAGGTAACGTTGTGCTTGACCGGGCAGCAGGATATTTACTGAGGCACAGGACCCAATCCCCACAAAGTGGAAAAGATTATTAATGCTTGTCTGCATGAATCATTGATGCACATCTACATTTTTATTTCCCAAAGTTGGAGGTATAAGGAGTCGTGTTGAAGTCTTTTTTTCTTAACAATGGAGCCTGGTGAGAGAGAGTGTGGTTTCTTAATTCATTGGCTGATTTATCTGGAGATTAAAGCCCAGTCAACTGGAATAACTGTAGCTGCTTGTTAAACCTCGAAAAATCCGCCCCGCCTATACACCATTTTAAAAGACTCCCTTCCAATCAATTACATCTATAACAAACAACTGCAGCCGTCGATTAAATCAATAGCGGTCTGTTGGGAATGGAGCAGCTGTCTGTGAGGTTACAGGTAAATATTGAACTGTGTTGATAAATGAGTGTAGTAGGCTGAGTAGACTTGCAGCTCTGGCATCCCAGTCCCCGATCACACCGTTTCTGGCGGAGACTATGGGCGAGTTTGGTTTGCGTGACAGTGGACGAGCTTGTTTCTGTTCCTGTTTTCTCTCCTTCGTGTGCCTCCCTCTCTCTTGGTCAGTGACGCTCGCTTGTACCCACACTGAGCAGGCCATCTGTCTGCTTCTCTTTAGCGCTTGTCAAAAACAAACCCACCAGTTTGTCATAAGTACAACCTGCTCTGGCATCTCACGGAGAGATTTATTTCTTCCCTTTCACGGCACGTGGCAGGTAAAATGAGCTAAAAATATATTTCCCTTTGAAGCTCTGTGAGTCGCCGTGGACTAATGTGACAGATCCCCAAGCAGTTTCTCACAGGAACACACAGCTTCAGATGGAGCTTCATCTTCATTTGCCACACCTTGTTCTTTTTGTATGTGATGTATTCATAATTAAAGAACTACATTTCACTGTACATTTGAAAGGAGTACAGAGCTTGTCAACCATCTCAGTGATATTGTTCTAATGAAGATGAGCGATATTGAGAGGAAGAATCTAAAAGTCCAGTTGTAATTCTACAGTACAGAGAGATGCTGGAGGATTTGATCCCCGCCTGATCGACTCATAGACACACCTTCCTCAATCTAGCAGTTGCGAGGGATGATGGTGTTTTGAGTGAGAGAACACATCAAGAGAGATGAATGCTGAGGGGATGAGTGTGAGGATGTGAGACTCTTGTATTAACCACTCGTCCTCCCGTTCTTTTCCAGATGCATCATCCTATCCAGATGAAACCCGCTGACAGTGAGAAAACAAGTGGTGAGTGGATTCATGTGAAATGTAGGGCTGTCAAAATTGGCGAAGTTTGAATATTTGTTCTAAAAAATAAACTATTCAAAGATCTATTTTTGCTCATTATGTCCATGACACGGTGTCCTAACCAGCCGCGATACAACGTAGCACGCCGTTTTATCGGTGCTCTGTTTCTATTTATTTCCTTCACTCACTTTTAAAAGAACAGAACTCTGTTCTCTGCAAAAACCTAAATAAGGTGAAAGGCTATATTTTATTTCCATCCATTTCCAGTAAATATAAAATGTGTTTTCCGTTTTAAAAAATGTACAAATGTAGGAAGACGGCAAAAGCAACTCGCCCATCTTCTAGGTGGTTAAGTCTCCGGTCGGATATCGTGCGCTCAGCTGACGGGTACGTGGTTTGTTGACATGACGAAACGCAGCCCTCGACGTTGGGACGCGGTGTCCCACGTTCTCTGCCATCGTTATGGTTGTTAATGAATAATTCGTTATATTTCACTTTCAATTAAGGAAAGTGACACTGAGTGACTCCCGTCACGCGGCGCATTAAGGCAGACAGCCGCATATATTAAGATTTAGAACATTTGTTGACAGCCCTTGTGAAATGTAGGGTGACATCTGTCACAGCCTGTTGAGGAAAACTATATTTAGATTTATGGAGTTATTTATTTTTGGAGTTTAAGATTTTAAAAGAGGGCGGGGGGCTTGATTGTGACTCTGTTTAATGCCGAAATGAAGGCCAGTGGGGGGGGGGGGGGGGGGGGGG